TTTAGCCATCTCTATCCTCACTCTCCGCTCAATGCTTGTTGATTTATTCTGGCCATTAGGATGCTGAAGCACACTTATCCAGGTGCACCCTAAAGCTGTTGTTTGAACAAGAGCTCGGTGAATTGTAGTCAACACAGTGTGGAGCTGGAGGAACATAGCAGGTCAGGCGGCAACAGATGAGCAGGAAAGTCGACATTTTGGGTCGCGACCCTTCATCAGGACTCAAAGTCTTGATGAAGGGTCCCGATCCAAAACATCAACTTTCCTGCTTCTCTGATGCTGCCTGGCCTGCTCTGTTCCTCCAGCTCCACACTGTGTTGACTCTGACTCCAGCATCTGCAGTTCTTGCTATCTCTCAGTGAATTGTATGCCAAATCAGAATTCATCTGTCATTTGAATTGGACGGTGCTTCCCAGTTGACTTCTATTCCCAGCCTATTTTAATGCTTTACATTTGTTGCTCTCCCAGAATGACAACTTTTATTGGTGAGGGAAGGGTTTGAGAGAAAAGTTATTGAGCAGGATAGAGTTCCAAACAGCAGGGATGGAGGCACAAAAGAAATGACTAAAGTAGCCAATGTTTTGTAGACTCTGGTGTCAGCGACCAGGTCTCAGAGCTCATTGCATTAGACCATAACCATGTGCTGAGGAATGGTGGACAACCTCACAGCTGATCCTAGAACAATCAAATCCAAGTATCTGCTGCACAGCCGCTATTGCTGCCTCAGAGCTCGTGACCCAGGTTGCTTGTTCCACACTCTCAGGGGGGGTGGGGGGCGGTCTGGGGCCAGTGGAATAGAAATCTGGCGGATCTTTCCTGAGTTGTACAAAGTAATCCGTGGCCTGATTGTCTGATCAGTGGAGTTTTGTTTCTCTTTTCCCTCCTTTGCTTTTAGGACCTCCAACGGTCTCCATCTCCCCCAGGGGCCCAGTCAGGCTGGGTGTGGGTGATTCCGTTACTCTGGAATGTATAGGCATGGGCGAACCTCGGCCTACAATCAGATGGCGTCGGGTCAACGGCAGGCAAAGGAATAACCTGCCGAGGGAAGGCAATCCCATCCTAACGGTGAGTAGAAGCTGGCCCCTGGACAATCCGTCATTCTGACAATCATAGAATCCCAACAGTGTGCAATGGGCCATTCAGCCCATCAAGTCCACTTCAACCCTCTGAAGAGCATCCCACCCCGACCAACCCCTCCCATTCTCTCCCCATAATCTCTCATTTCCCATGATTAATCCACCCAACCTGCGCATCCCTGGGCACCATGGGGCAATTTAGCATGGCCAATCCACCTGTGCATCTTTGGACTATGGGAGGAAGCCAGAGCACCACGCAGACATAGGAAGAGCGTGCAAACTTCACACAGATACTTGCCCGAAGATGGAATCGAACCTGGGTCCCTGGCACTGTGAGGCAGCAGTGCTAACCACTGAGCCACCGTGTAATAATAGCTCCTCTCAGTTATAACCCCATGAGTGCTATTTGTTATTTTATTTTATTCATTCTGGCCTCATGGGCATTGCTGGCAGGAGAGGGCATTAATACCCATTCCTGAGATTCTGAGATGTCTCGTTGTTTTAAACCACAACAATTAATGATGTGAAGACAGAAAGCTATTGCTATGAGGTTGCAGAATCTTCTCTCTGTGACAGTATTATCACGGTGTTTGCCACATTTACCCATTCGTTGATTGTTTTAGAAAGTGGATCACATCATCTTCGATGTGAAGCTTTTACATTATTAACCTCTCAGTGAGGACAATGCCCCGGTTGAACTTACTTAGCAAGTTATGCATGAATTAAACTCCACTTTGAGCTCCATGCTAATTATTAGCAAAGGCAGGATATAAATTATCTAGAACTTAGTTGTGCCCAGGCCAAAACATCTGGCATTAATTCATAAATTTATACACCAAGAATTATAAAATCAACAAGCTAGAGCTAACAAAATGCAGATGTTCGTGTGCCTCTATCTCTCTCGCACACATGGCAAATGCTGTTAGAAATACTTCTCCAGATAACACAGAGCCCCTAGGTACTGGCACAACATGGGGAAACAGAGTCACCCTCAGGCAGGGCGTTTGCTCATTTATAAACTGCCTGCCACCGGAGTCCTCTTTAGTGATCACCCTTTAGTTACACACCGCAGAAGATAATGGCTTTCTCCAACTGTTTTAGATTGCCCTTAAATGGCATCTGCAGCACCCAAAGATCCAATCTGCTTACCTATAAACCTATCCACTATTTTTAAAACTAAAATCACACTTGAGTCGAGGATTACCCAGTACATATAAATGAAGCTTCCAGGCAGATGTGAGCATGTAACTTTACCCAAGGAAAACAATTAAGTCATATCTTGATGAAACTGATGTCCCTCCAAAGTCCCTAACAAATCATAATTAGCGTTTTAAAATAAGCATTTGCTGTTTGTCGCATTTCCATCCCATTTTTGTGTTGACTCTTTCCTGTTATAATTGCCATTTTTAGTCTTTTTCCTTCATGGGATGTAGGCTTTGCTGACTAGGCCAGCATTTGTTGTCAGTCCCTAATTGCCCTTAAACTGAATGGCTGAGCCATTTCAGAAGACATTTGAGAGTTAATCGCAATAACTCCACATTCCCATTCAGCATGGAAGCTTCCTGAGCAAAGATCAAATGTTGTAATTACACCGTCACATCATTGGATGGGCACTTCTCAGTTTTCAGTCTCTCATTTCTCATCTGTCATTTGAGTAATGTCTACACATCACATCAACCGCCCCTATTCCTCTGCTTTTCAAATTGCCAAAGGTCTGACGGCAGAATATAAATAATATCAAATCAATGTGTTATATAATGAATGTGAAACCGTTAGATGACCAGTGACTGAAGTCTGCGCGGCCTGCTCCAGTTAAATCCATTCCCTTATGTATAAGCATATGAAATAGGAACAGAAATAGGCCAATCAGCCCATCGAGCCCACTATCCCGATAATTAAGATCATGGCTGATCTGTTTTTGTGTTTGAATTCCACGTACACATCTACCCTATAATGCATAGTTCCCTCAACAAGAAATCTATCCACGTCCGCTTTAATAGCATCCTTCCAAGGCAGAGTTCTGAAGTTGTACATTGCTCTGTGAGACAACTGTTTTCCTCATCTCTATCCTAAAAGGGCAACCTCTAACAGTAAAACAGTTCCTCCTTGTTCTGGACTGACCCACAAGAGGAAACATCCTTTCCATGTCCACCTTGTCAAGGTTATTAAGCGTCTCATATATGTCAATCAAATCACCCCTCACTCTTCTAAACTCCAGTGGAAGCAATCCCAGCCTGCCCAACCTTTTTTCATAAGGCACCCCACTCATTCCAGCTATCAATCAAGTGAATCTCCTCTGAACCACCTCCAATGCCTTTACATCCTTCCTTAAATAAGGAGACCAAAAGAGCACACAGTATTCAACATGTAGTCTCACCAATGTTTTTCATAACTGAAGCGTAACATTCTGACTCATATGTTCCGTTCTTGTCATCTTAAAGGATAGTATTTACGTTCACTTCCTCGGAAGTTAGACGTTGTGGCTTTTACTTGCAGGGAGGAACACTCGGGAAAGATTAATTTCCCATTATTCTTCTATTAATGATTTGTGACGTTGCCCCAAGCAGAAATGAAGAGAATTTGAAAAGCACTGTAGCATGAAGATTGTGCTTCTTTTACATATGCCAATATAACCTTAGATGGTTTATTTAATTGTTATTTCAGATTTCTTCAGCTCGTTTGCAGGATTCTGGGACCTACTCCTGCATGTCCTCGAATATGTTTGGCAGTGTTGATGCTCAGGTAGAGGTGATAGTCGAGCGATCAGCCTCCACACCTCAGGTTCCTCAGGTCACTGCGGAAGAGCCATCGTTAACTGTTACAGCAGGACAGATAGCTACCCTGCGCTGCTCAGCTACCGGTACGTCAGGAATACCATAGCACTCCAGTGATTGTCATACAACTTTTCAAATCTCACCAGGGAGGTTTATTTATGTTGTCGACTGTAGCTTAAATAATGTGCCCTGCCATGGGTTTGCCACCAAGCTCACACTTCATGAGATGAATGTGATCATCAAAAGTTTCTACTAAGGAAACATGCTATAAAGCATTTAAAGTACTTTGTGTTAATAAGATAATACAGCAAGGTTGGAGATATAAGGAAGTCAGTATTAAACACTGCTGCTGTCTGGACAAATGTTTGATCTTATTGCATATGTACAAGCTTCACAGTGCTGCTTTTTTTCATTCTTTCATGGGATGAGAGTGTCACTGGCTAAACCAGCCCAACCCAAATTGCCCTTGACAAGTTGATGGGTGATGAGCTCGAACCAGTGAACTGTAGGGTCACCCCCCACTGCCCCCGCCATGCTATTAGGGATGGAGTAACTAGCTCAGAAACCAGTTATTGTCCATCCCTAATTGTCTTTGAACTGAATGGCTTGCTGGGCTGTTTCAGAGGGCAGTTAAGAGATAATTACATTGCTGTGGGTCTGGAGTCACAGGTAGACCAGACTAGCTAAGGATGGCAGATTTCCTTCCCTAAAGCACATTAGTGACCCAGGGTCACTGAAGAAGGGTCTAGGCCCAAAACGTCAGCCTTCCTGCTCCTTTGATGCTGCCTGGCCTGCTGTGTTCATCCAGCTCTACACCTTGTTATCTCAGTGACACAGGAGGGTTTGTTTTTGGGTAACAGTTCATGACAGCTGTCGTGGACACCATTGCTGAGGCTAGCTTTTGTATTCCAGATCTTCTTAACTGTATGACTGTATGACTATGGCTTTATCTGTTAATTGAATTTAAATTCCACCAGTTGTGATTTGAGCCCTTGACCCCAGAACATTAGTCTGCGACTCTACACCACCTTCTCATCCATTCAACAATATCAGCAAAGAAACATTCATGATTCTTGAGGAGGTTCTCGGCACAGTTATTCTCAAATTTCTTTCTCCGTTTGGACACATACGTAGTTGTACAAATGTGTTGTACCATTGCCTTAATATTCTGAGCACCCCTGAGTATTGTTTAAATACACAATTAAATCATTCTGGATGTAATGTATTGTTCACTGCTTCCACTTTGTTAGAATAACCTGTTGGGAGTGACTGCAGAATGGTCATTGTACCAAGACATAAGAAAATCTTATCTCGATATAATCCTAATTAATTGTCAACCTCAGTCTCTGGATCTGATCTAGTTACAATAGCACTGCATGACAGACTCCCCAACCTGTGTCATAGAGTCATAGAATAACACAGCATGAAAACAGGCCCTTCGGCCCAAACTGGTCCATGCTGACCATGGTGCCCACTCAGCTAGTTCCAATTGCCCACATTTGGTCCATATCCCTCTAATACATGTACGTATCCAAATGTCTTTAAACGTTGCTATCGTACCTGCCTGAACCACTTAATCTGGCAGCCCATTCCATGTACGCACCACTCTCTGTGTGAAGAAATTGCCCCTCAGGTACTTCTTAAATCTTTCCCCTCTCACCTTAAACCTACGACGTCTATTTTTCAATTCCCCATCCCTGGGAAAAAGGCTATAAGCATTCATCCTATCTATGCCCCTCATGATTTTATGCACCTCAAGGAAGTCACCCCTCATTGTCTTACGTGTCCTTGGAGAAACAAGGGAGAATTGTATGTAAAATACAATGAGTTTATTCACCAGATTAAATGTTGATTCTTCTCTTTGGTTTCTGTAGGTTACCCCACTCCGATTATTCAGTGGTCTAAGTTGCGAGCCCCGTTGCCATGGCAGCACAGGATTGCCAATGGATCTTTGGTTATTCCTAATGTGGGACTGCAGGATTCTGGACAGTACATCTGCAATGCTTCCAATTCCGCTGGATTCAATGAGTTATTCATCACTTTGGATGTAGAAAGTAAGAACTGGCTCATTGGGATTTTGCTTTACCCTTCTTTTGAACATCAAAACTTTTAAACTATGAATTTTTAGTAGGTGTGCAATATTTCCTGAAGAAATCCTGAGTGGTATTTTTGAAACTTTGAACTCACTGGAAATGGTTCTACCAGCAGTATTTGGGTGATCAATGAAGATAGACCTGCTGTGTTCCTCCAGCTCCACACTGTATTGACTCTGTCTCCAGCATCTGCAGTTCTTGCTATCACTGATAAATGACTGGGAAAAGTTTCTGTTTCTAACAGTACACACATTATAACTTCAGGACATCTCATGCCCTTGACAACCAATTAAGTGTTTTTGAAGTACAATGACTATTGTGGTTCAGGAATTTCAGCAGCCAATTTGTGCACAGCAAGCTCCCACCAACAGTAGTGACCAGAGTTTTTTTTTAAAGGTGATGTTGTTCGAGGGAAATCTGTAGGCCAGGATATTTTCTTCAGCTAACCACTGTTTACCGTTTACAACAAACACAGTTATTTTATTAGCAATTCTCAGAAATTGCAAACCTTTTTCTACTTAGAATGTTCGTTCCCACAAGGGACACAGACATCAAAAATGCCACATGTGACCAGTCAAATCCAAGAATGTCTTATGTGGCCCTTTGCTAAACCCCTGTGACAAGTATGGAAACAAATAATTATATATATGTAGCACCTTACTAAATCTCTCAACAGAGTTTTGGAGTGATTCACAAGCAAGAAATTCCCTTTGAAGGATGTTGCCTAGTTGTTGACAAATAAGGCAGCTGTTAGCCACTCAATAACTCCCGCAAACAGCAATGAAGTAAATAATCTATCAGCTTCTTGCTGTGATTGAGAGGAGAGAATTGTCCAGGGAACCAGAATTCCTTGCTTTTCTTCAGGCAAGGCTGTCGGCACTTCATCTGAATTAATGAAACACTGCCAAAGGGAAGGAGACCCACAGTGTAGCTCTTTGTGGTGCTCCTTGATGCCAGTCCAGCTTATGCGCTGGAGTTTTGAAATTTGCCTTGAGCACACCATCATTACACATTGATAAGAGTCTGGCCAAATGCTTTGATGTGTTTTATCACATCTCATTGGGTAGCACACTGAAAATCAAATCCCACTATTCCCAGAGTCTTCACATAAGTTAAAGATTTTAAAACATGTATAATAAAATTCTGCAGTTTACATGACATCCAGACTCAGATTGATAGAAAGCATGAATAATGTTTCCGTACTTAACAAGAATTTCTATTTATGACACGTAATTAGACTCTAGCAACAAGTGAACAGTTTTAAACTGTCAGCATATAGCACTCTAAATTCAAACCCTAATCTCTTTCTACACACCCTTTTTCATACACACGAAAAGAAAAACACAGGGAAAAACTGGATGTGGCAAAGGAAAACAGGGAGGGTGTTCAGTAGTTCCTATTATGGTTGCTAAGATGGTCAATACGATTCATACAGTGGTCAGCACATTGCTGTTCAGTCATCTATCTCTAGATGCTTCCACTTGTTTGCACGAGACACAAGTGGCTGGTTCACTTAAAAAAAATCTTTGACTTTTACCAGTTAAAAGTCATAGCTTACAACTGAAGGAAAGAGAAACTGGTTTTCCTAAAATTTAAAGTAGGTTATTGACTGCAGAGAACAGAAAGGCTGAGCTGGTGGAGATCAAAACACTCTCTCTATCTTATTCCAGAACTAAGCTGTTCAGTTATCTGAGAACCAGTCATATGCTGGTTGGTTGACAAAAGGCTTTTATCATCGATGACTAATCGCTAGTTCATGGACCAGTCAAATTCTTGTTGCTACTCAGAACCGCATCTGTGTACACAACTCCTTGACCCGTGTTCATCCGCAACCACTTCAGTTAATGCTTGTTTGCAAAATGCTTGCCATGAGGGTCAGGTTACTTGTCTTTCAAAACGTGCAGCAACCTTTCAAAACACCTGGTTTTTAAAATAGTTCTTTCTCATTTTAGTCCACAATTTTTCAAAAAAAACTAAAGTAAAAAAAGGCAGTCTTTACAGTTCCTTGCGGAACTGAAGGCTTGTGGACAACTTGATTATGTGACTGAGTTAGT